GGTACTGGAAAGGTTCGGTACCTCCCGGATCGGCCGGCGAGCGCTCTTCTTTCGTTTTTCTTCTTCTTGGAGCCGTAACCGTAATTGTCTCTGGCACTCCATCCCGGATACATCTGCATGTGTAGCTGCCGTTCCTGGCGAGCCTTCTCGTAGTATTTCGCTTGCTCTTCGCGACTCAGAGAGTGCCACTATCAAGGCAGGCAAAGAGAAGCGATCAATATTACGGCTCGTTAAACCTTATTCATATTTCAACATTGACACCACGCATAATGCATGCAAAGTATTTTGAAGCGAGGACTCGGAATAGGATTAAAATAATTAACATATAAACATAACAAACTAATTATTAATGACTTACCCGTCGCCCTAATATTTGGTAATCGCTGCACTTTCTTTTAATGTACATTCTGCAACTACTTTGGCACGCATTTCTTTCATATAAAGCATGAAAGCATTTAGGGTTTCTTGATATGTGGCTTTTTCTTATCTGCTGCAGAATTACCTGCATCAGGTCCATTTTGTTTGTCTATTTGGGCCGCTGTTGAATTTTTAGAATCCAAAGATGACCTATAACCAAACATAATATATGCGTGAACTAATATAAAATATATCAAAATTTCAATTTTTTATACGTTTATTAAATACCGTTTATGCGTCTGAACAAACGATTGTGTATAGTTCTGAATCTGTAATTTTCGACGTACTTCTAGTTAAACCTTTTAGCTCTGTATCGGAAGAATTAGTTGACACTATAGAAGGTGGCGGTTCAAACCATGGTGACACGATTGAAGATGAAGTGCTGGTGCTGCTAGGAGGGGATGCTATTGAGCAAGGCCAGCCACTAGTCAACAAAGCGTGCTCGGCTATTTTTTTAGCGGCCTCAACGTAAGAAAATGTTTGCAAAGAAAAATGATCTGGCAAATTTAATAAAGGTTGCGGTGATGAAAATTGTTGCAACCTATTTACGTAAAGAGCGGCCAAATCTTTCTGTTTTGCTAGGGAGTTTATAACAGAATAAAGACGTCCTGATAAATTCATCAGGTATCATCTGATCTTGCAAGTTTTTATTACTATCATCGTGAATTGCGTTTAATAAATCATGTTGTACAGATTTGCCAGATGTTGGCATCGAGAGATCAGCTGGTTGATAATCTTTTCGGGGAAGTCACCGTGCACTATGGCTGATTCTGGGTGCAACTGATCTGGCGGACGAACGCGTTCGTATTTTGAAGCGAAACGATGCTTCTTCACGTAAACGCTCTTGCTTTCGACCGAAGCAACAGGCTTTTTTTCTAGGATAAGGTTTAGAGGTTCTGAACAACATCCATTCGGTTCCATTCTAAATAATTTCACATAATACGCGATACCTAAACACGATCATTATCGCGTAATATTGGCCGCGGCACTTAACCAATATCCGTCAGCATCAGCGACGGCTTCGAAAACTCGAGACTCCAATTTAGTAACATGACAAACAGCTTAACAAATTCTGTATCAAAAACGTGATACAACAAACTATTAATTCTGCATAGAGGCAGAGGTGCGCGCGACGTGCGTTGCACACAGTTCGGGTATTACAAATGCGCCGTACATTACAACCCTCATAACAGCGACGCGCACACGTCAATAAAGTACACAGTCTCTCCCGAACAAAGAACATTCAGCTACGCGTAGACCCCTAGGCTACGAGTCACAGATGCGACGGAAAAACAAATTGAATGCAAACGAACGACTAGAGAGGACTCTAGCAGTTTTAGTCCACTCAATAAAGAATTCACTAACCTTGCATATCGGTGGTTATTATTCTGGTGCGGTAATTCTTGTTTGGGCCCCGGCGTCACGATTGCGGGATGTGATGTTAGTGAATGCACGTGGTGAGGATGTGCGTGCGGACTAAGCCCGGCATGCGGATGAGATGGAATCAGTCCGGTCGGTGAAAACCTGTAGAAATCACTGCGGGATGCAAACATTTTTAAAAACATACTTCACTGGAAACATTATAGATGCTTATATATATAATTAGATCGAATGGAATAAAACACCCACCGATATTATCAATACATTTTCTAAAGTCAAATAATTAATGTCAATAGTTTTGCATTACGACTTTTTATAAGATCCGGTGATATTAAATTAACCCTCCGTCGGTCGGCGTGGTCTGGCCAGACTTTTTTCGACTTCAATTAAAAAAAAAAAATTCTTCTAGTAATTCTATAGACTTGAAAATCCTTGACTTTTCCTAAAATTTCATTAGCTGTCGATCAATGAAAAAATCAGGACGAAAAAATGTACAGAAGGATAATTATAAGGATAATAACTTTTTTATACTTCGAACGGTCGGAAAGGTCTGTCTAGACCACCCACACATTTTGTATGAAATATACGCTTTTTGATATACGTAAACCAGTATTTTGTCTTTTTTCATGGTATTTTCTATTCAAACTGCGTTGTATATATTCTTTGCTATGTGTTGTAACATGAATGTTAGTATTTTCATGACGAGAGTTCCTTGAGAACCTACCAAACTTATTGGTAATCGCAAACACTGAAAATCCGATGAGTAATGCACACATTATCAACAATCTTTTTACCCGTACTGCGTTCGAAATGTTTTTTTGTGAAACCTGTAGTGAAATTATATTTTTACTTTGAGTTTTACAGCTCATTTCAAAGGCGACGCACCTCATTTCGTTTTCATTTGAATTTCACATTCATTTCAAAGGCGCCGAAAAAGAATAAATATAGTTTTTCATTGATATAAAACAGAAAAATTAACAAAAAAAGCAACGATTTTTTATATTTCTTGATTTTTTCTATATATATAATATGTAATATTTTTATTATAAGCAAGCTCAACACATGCAAAAGACGGTAAGAAAAAGAAAAAATCAAAACTTTAAATATTTATTACTAATAATCGTTAATATATAAGACACCAAAAACTCATTTATCCCATATAAATGCATGTAAAATGAATGGTGGTCCAGCCTGACCTTTCCGACCGTTCGAAGGTGAAAAAATATCCGACCGACGGAGGGTTAAATAGTTGTTTAACATGCGTGTCTGTTAGTATTACCATAAGACATTGTATGTTGTAAATATGCAAAAGGAAATAATTTAATACAATTTTAATCATTTACCTGGGAAGAGTTGTACTAGTAATAGGTAACGATGATGGATACGGACTTCGAAATCCTGATGATCCTGAAGAAATGGGGTACATACTGGGCGTATGCCTTAAAATAGTAAATTTATATCATTATTTGAATTTATATATATGCTATGTATACAGTTTTATCATAATGAAATACTTACCATGATGCGGCGACTTGTGACATTTCTGGACTAAGCATAGGATAAGAATACTGCGCTGGTGAGTACGGAAACATCGAAGGCCTCGTCAAACCTAAAGTTAAATACTCATATTTAGCTATTTATAAAGTACTTAATTTTAAAATAACATTATATAATTAAATAGCTTCACTGAATCTAACGTTTAACTTCGTTTCATGCAGAATCACTCATATCATGGTTCTGTTTTGTTATTCTATGAGTGATAAATTTATGCAATACACAAATGATTAATTTAACTTATGATAGTGTACTCCAATGTATCAGTAGAAATTAAACATAAAGATTTACTTTGTGAGATAAACAAAGGATTTTTTAAAAATAAAAAGTACATTACGCCTTGCACCGATCAAGCATGTTGAAAACGCTTTGCAATGGGTGCATGCTATAGCACGTGCCCGGAACTCAAATATTAGCGTCGATAGATTTCCAGGTCTGATTTGATTGTATGACGAATGGTGTTAAGTACGGTGTAAAAAATTAAGTGGGTCACAATAGTGTGAACATGAATTCTTGTTTTACTACTCTCCTTCAGTAACATAAACCAGCTGATTATAAATAAATAAATAAATAATGCAACTATATGTTTGGAAGTTGTAGTCAATACTTTACACTTTGAACAGTAGATGTTTTACACTAATATAAGTATGTTTGGAAACATTAATTTCTAAAATATAAATCGATTCCAAAAATTAATATCATTGTCTGTTTTCAAAAATTATATTCGACAATTTACAAAAAAAAACGTTAAGATAGGAGCAAATTATGCCCTTTATACAATCTGTTTATGCTTCAAGTAACGACCCCAAAAACAAACGCTCTTTAAAAAGTTGGAACAGAAAACATAATACAGACAGTAATACGACATGAAACGACTGTGCCGAACACATTTAAGGTAGTATTTAAGTAAAATATACTTAAAATATTATTTTAAGTCAATTAGAATTGCTTACTATTGAAGTACGATTATTTGTATTCATTATGTTTTTTACAGTGTATACCAATTTTTAAAAATATATTGCATTTCATTTATGTAGATTGTAGACATACTGATAATCACAACAAATGAAAATTTATACATTATAAAAAAATCAACACATGTCAAGAGTTGACAAATGCTAAAATTGATTCTGATAAAATCAAATGAAAGCATACATATAAACGTACTATATATTTACAGGCAATAGATAGACATCTACATCGTGCGGAACTTATGATGTAATAGTTTAAAAATCTATCAAGTTGAAGGGGTTGATTTCAAAGGGGAAACGACCCCTTACTAATAACATGCCCCGTGAGAGGTGAACACAATAACTAAATTGAACGTTTTAAAAGCGCTTATCTGATGTTCGACCGACGTGCACCAAAAGCTTGTGTACTTGTCATATGTAATGTTTGCAAATGAGAACCTAAGGTTCTCAATTGCTAAATCCAAATCATTTATAGGAATAAAAAAATCACATCACCAAATTACACTTTAATCGTATCAGATCATCTTATGGATAATGATAAGATGATAATGATAATGAATTAAAAAAGTCATCATATGCGAAGTTTAAGTTCAAATTTGAAGGTTGATTTTATTAATATAAAGCAAAAATGTTATACCTTGGCATCTGATGTTGTTGTAGAAACAATACGACTAAATAATCAAGAATTGGTGGATTGTAATATAAATAATAAAATTCTACTGAATTATAATTTTATAACTTATATTACAATCCACTAAACTTTATTTATATTTTACTGTATTAGTTTTGTTAGTTAATCATCTAATCAAATTCGGAGCGCTTTTGTTTACATTATCATTCAATAATTTCTTTATTACTATTTTATTTGTCTATATAATAAATATCTTATTGAAATAGCTTTGATCGCAAGTTTACTCAGAAAAATGTCCTGAAGATGGAACGTGTATAGCTCCGAAACGTTGACATTAAATGAAATAAATGTTAAAAAAACTTTTTAGTTTTTAATTACAATTGCATTTCTTTATGTATCATCGTTGCACCAAGAACCAAAACCGAAATCGAATTCGAGACTAAACATAAAATAGTAAAGATAATCGTAAAAAATGATGTAAACATCTTAATGCAATGCATTTACAGTAGAATTTTAGCAAACTTCTGTTTTTTTCTTGTTTATCACATTTTTTCCATTATCGTAGCGTTCGTAATTAAGTTCGGTAATTCAATTCAATTCAACAAATACTTCAATTCAAAAATATTTTCTTATTTATTAATTTAAATTCATTATAAATAAAGGAAAAAAGTGTGGATTAACGAGATTCCCACTGTCCCTATCTACTTTCTAGCGAAACCACTGCCAATAAAGGAAAAAAGTGTCTAGTTAAAATTTTATATAAATGCTATAAATTTCAATAAATGAGAATCTCCATTTAAGTGCCCTTAAGGACGAACATGACCTCTCCTAGCTAAAGGGTGCGTCAGTCAAAGCAACGACAAAATGTAACTGGAAGCGATTTACATTGATACCCATTACAAGTCTCAGTGACAATGCACATGCAAGCATGATAGCTCCTATGAATGTAATATCACTACAAAACCCTTTATCCATCTCCTGCTCACATTGCAATTTCGAACGTACTTTATGCAAAAGAATTTATTTATTACTTCTGAACAAAAATGCAAAAGTAAATAGCCACGTGATTTGCTACTTGCTCATATGATATCAAAAGTATTTCAATTATAGAAATTTATTAAATAAACAAACAAAATGGTAATACAGAAATTACAGCATGCAATTGTAAATAAAGCGCTCTGAGAGATTATAAACTACGCAATCTTACACAGAAAACTGGTAAGGTACTGGTTTGATAGATTTCGATAAAAATTTGATGCATTTCTCTTGCTACAATATTTACAATTACGGATTTATATTCTATGGTTCAAAAACTCTGTAAGACAGAAAGAAGACGATAAAAATATAGTTCGGTAAAATCTTTTGGCTATTATCAAAAAATGTGAAAAAATGTTGTAGCCCACATATGAAAATATTATTACAAGATAGAGAAGTGATTTTGCAGAACATTACAATTTTCCACGTGCTTTGTATAGTCTATTAAGGAATTATTATCTGTACTTCAAATGAAATGTAAGGATTTTTATTTGCTAAAAGCTCGCTCCAAGAGAAGTACTCTGTAGCAATTACTAGTTCAAGTGCTACTTACTTCGTAATTGCTTCGACACTCAAGTCATTTGCAAATAGATTGTGGTAATTGAGCAAGTTATTTAATAAATTAAAAACAAGCTGTCGTGAAACTCAACTATTTTAGTCTATTATAAATTTCATCTTAAATGTAGAAATCAAACAATGAATTAGAATGAATTGAAAGTTGCTAGATCAGATCAAATAGACAAATTTCTGTGTACTAAAAATGTCACAATTGATTCATTTAGTCACGGTTATATCCTATTAACACGTTGATTGCCAACTTCGAGATGACTCGTAGAATGCGATCTTTTCTAGGATGCCAACTACGAGATATCTCGTAGTAATATAATGTGATTAAATTAACTCTTTGGGGACGGCTGCCCACCTGATTGGACAAACATACTTTGTGAGGCACAGGCTATTTTATAAACAATGACTCAGTTTGCATCGAAAAGTTGAATAAATTACATATAGCAGTGATAAACAGTGTTGTATTTTGTAAATAATTTTAAGTTATTTTAGTAGTATTTTTAGCCTTTTTCTTTGCTATATGGTCTTTTTTTATATTTAAAACGACCGAGCGCTTTTAAATATGGCAAAACAACTGGTAAATTTTGTGAATTAAGCAGTAGTGAAGATGAGTTTCAAATAGACATTCATACAGACAATTTTTACGAAATTACTATTCGCACCGAAGATAGTGATGAATGTGATGATGATATTATCCAACCAACAAAAAGAAGAAGTTCGACAAATTAAATGAAGAGCGAAAAAACATTAGCGGATGCGCCAATTCTCCTTCCAATAACCGAGTTTGACATACATCAACAAACACCCCGACTACAAATACCAAGCAATAGACATCCAATAGATTATTTTACTTAAAAAGCACTAGGGGAAGGCAACAACATTTTATTGTAAAACATGTCAAAATAAACCAGCAATGCATTATGGAAATTGTTTTGAACGTCACCATTCTTTATAAAATGATCAAAAATAAATCAATATTATAAATGTATGTCCTTCAATGACCACAAATTTTGTCAAAAAACTGCATAACATACACAATAAAATCAAGTTTACAGCCGGTTGAGTAGATTGTTTTGAAATCGGTGCCGTCCCGAAAGTGTTAAATTGTAAATTTTGGCCATATTTTTTACAACATCCGCGACAGTCAACTTGTTAATATTTATAACACAAAAATTTGTCTCGTATTACAGTTTTTAGTTTTTGATATGGTAGTTTCATAAAAAAAAGAATAAAATGATGAAAGTATCCATTTACTACGTTCTATATATACATATAGGTTGTATATGTCTACACATACCACGTATATTCTATCATACTAACTGAGACATTCCTTCATTTCCAACAATGTGAGCCAATATCTACAACATGCTGCACTTACCAGTAGCAGCAAGCAGAGGTCCAAGGCGTTTCCAGTCTCCGGTGCTGAGACCGACAGCTGGTGGCGGAGGTGGCGGCGGACTCGTTCCAGGTGCTCCGTTACCGGCCGCAGGCGACGCTCGCAACCCAAGTTGCAGTCCTCGCCAGTACTCTCCCATAGCACCCATTGCTCCCATGGCTCCTGCGGCCGTTTTTGGATCGAGCTGGTAAGGCGGGATACCCATGTGAGCAGGAGGCGGTTGCGTCAGGTGTTCGCCGTTGTGACAGAAAAACGATAAACCCGTCGCACCCGGATGCGTTGTCGGCAATCCCATCTTGCTCGCCTGCAATGAGATAATAAAGTGTTATGATAATCAAACTTGTCAAGTGTGGAATTATTCTTGTTATCAGAACGTAAGTTTAGATGGTGATTAATATAATATGATGTACTTTTGTTACGTAGTTATAGAATTTATTAAAACTCTCCTTCGATAATTCAGGTTGTTGGCTTATAATTTAACCCTTGTAGCTGTGGACTGTATTAAACACTGATTTGTTTGTATATTATGTATTTGTTGCAGTTCTAATTACAATCACTGATTTGTTACTAAGTTATAATGAAACAAGATATATTTATTTCTATTGGTTATTTACATGTTGTTAAGCAGACTTTCCTTTTTGAACCACTAGTTCAATTAGAACACCCCGCTACCCCCTCTACCAGGGGTAGCAACCATTCCGTGTAAAGCTTATTGCCCAGAAGTTTGTCACCTTCATGGCCAATATAATAAAACGAAAAGACGTCCGAACATATGATTTAGATGCTGTTAGATTAAATCGAATTATACGCGTTAGATCTTCGGTTATATAAATATCGCAATGTGCAATAAACACAATATAATGACCGTGAATTTTTTGTGTAACGCTTCCTTTTGCGAGATTGGATCAATCATTCGATTATTCCGTAGTCTGATATTAGCTGAAATACTAAGAATTGCGTGCCTTACACGAAAATATATATTACAGAAATAGGTGAACGTAGAAACGCAGTTGTAATGTAAACTTATTCATAAACGCTAGAAATTGATTATAAATACGCTGTATATGTGATTTAAAAGATTATCGCACAGTTCATTTGGCAACTACTAAAATATATTTTATTTCTAAAAATTCCAATACCCGTTTACAAAAATTATGAAAATATTATTAGCACACGAAATCATCTTTTTACACATTAGATTTCCAGAAAAACTCTATCAAACAAGATATATCAAAAATATCCCTGACCACTAAAAATAAAAATAAATCTATAAACATACGTTACAGAAGTAAGCGTAGATGATGTTCTTCTTGTATTTTATCTTGAAAGTAAAATCAGGACGATAAATCTTTGTCTAAAATGCACACATATACTTTGTCATTTTCGAAAAGTGACATCAGTTTCGGTCCATGTAAATAACTTTCAAGATGACAAATTAAGTAACTCGACACCTTCAGTGGAATTTTAATAGTGGCACGAGCTTGCAATTCGCGTGATTAAAATGACTAAATGTTGACAAAATGAAGATAATGGCTGCTACAATTTATTCTAAAGATAACAATTTCAGTTTTTGAGCTTGTGTCTTCGCTACGAGTTAAAGCAAAACAATTGTTTCAGCAACATTTCGTTTATAAATCCTTAAATAAGTCACTATCCATAATTTAATCATTAATTAATTGCTTGGCACAAACTTAAAAAATATATATTATCATTGATCACCGCATGCTTAAGATTTATTCTTAAATGACTTAATTAAAATTGAAATCAGCCACTGTAAAATTGAAATAAATTATTTTTCGCTGATTGGCTCAACTTTGTTTCAGTACATAAATGAACGGCGCTAATCACAAAATCAAGTATAGTTTTTACTATTTAAAAGCCGCGTTGTAATCATGTACAAGTTTACACACTACAGTAATTAATTCGCGCCATTCAATAATTGCACAAGAAGTTTTGACATTGCACGTTATTCATATCACGCACAAATGCAGCAATTTAATCTCTAGTAATAATAAGTTTGTGATACGATTATTAGGACATCCGCAGAACTGAATGAATATCGGAAATTGGAACGCAATTTTGAAACGCTTATTTTGAAGCTAATTGTGAACCATGTATCTAGCTAAATAAATAATGCACAAACAATCTATATTCAATCCATGTCCGTCGTCGACATTATCCATCTTGAACCAGCACATGAGTTACAATACATGACGTCAACATTCGTCGAGAGTAAAGGACAAGGTATATTGCTGAACCAAAAATAGCATCATTATGTATATATATTTATGTACATTATTTATGTATTGGGGGATTTTATTCACTCGAAAGATACTTGCTTTTCTTCTTTTAGATTGTCATAGATAAGTACCCTAGTATACTTTTAAATCCGATTTCGCAAATGTAGCATTATTTAACTTACATCAATAATGCGGCATCCCACGTCGCCTGGCGGCAAAGGTATAAAAGTTAAGTACAATGCCACTAAATCTAGTTGACCGTAACAGTTGTTCTGTACCTAAGTATTCGACGTGATAAATCAAAATTATTGCAAAAGCAAGTCGACACTATGTGTGTTTACAAACCGTAAACGTGTCGACCTACTGTAACACCGAGAGCTATGACGTATGGTATTTTGTAACAACTAATTAAATTCTGAAGTCGCTGCAATGTTGCACTGCACAGAATTGCGCGCGGACGCTGTCTGCTTTATATATCGCCCGCAATACACGTTCCTCAAAAGCAGTAGCATATTTATATTATCAATAAATCCGGACAGACTTTGATGACGTATTATTCGAAATTTGTATTGCTAAAATATGGGACACCAGTAAGTGACGAATACATCGTAAATCTGTGACGGTATATTGTGATACAAAATAGCAACCAAGAGTACAAAGATAGAGGTGCGCCATTGTCATTCAACATTAGTAGGCGCGGTATGTCTGAAGTCAATGAAAACCTATCATATTTTACATATTCTACCGACTATGCTATATATATCATTACACAATACAAATTTACATGTTAGATGTGGCTGGATATGTTTATATTTAAATTTCTAATTGCCTGTCACTAGTGTACAGTAATACTTCCGCCTCGAATAGAAGGTAATGATAAAAATTATGCTAAGACCAGAATAATGCACAAAACTATAATTTCAAATAAGTTCTGAAAGTTTCAAAACAAAATGAGCATTATTAAAATAAAACATAATATAAAAACATGCCTTCCGAATATGACTCGCAATTTGTCGTATGCCTATTATTATATCAGGCTCTATGGGCTGCGTCTCCATCCACAACAGGGCAGTTTCTAATAGAGAAGCCGTTTGTGACGCGGTCGGTATACATGTTTCAGTTGCTTCTTGTTCACCTGGTTCATGTCCAAACTTATTTTCGATTTCGATCTTGACGAAGTCTGTTTCTTCATCAATTCGCCTATCGGACAAACCTAATATTCGCACAGCATCCGTCAGTTGGTCGGTTAAGTTTGATAAAACTGATTCGTGATTTGCGCCTAATTTAACATCAGTTTCCATCCACGAACGATGAATTAGAGGAAAGGCACCTTTCAAATTAAAATGGTATTTTAAAAACTTATTGAAATCGAAATTATCGTATTGCTCTTTGTATTGTGCATACATTTCTAGCAAATATAAACAGTACCGCGCATGCATCACATTTCGAATGTTTTGGAGCCGCCGTTCCTCTTTTTCTGGTAACTTTGCTTGAAATCGAAGTGTGTCTTTTCCATCATATGATAGGCAATCACCGTCGCATTGAATATCTTCAGCGCATATTAGCAAACATGGTAAAAACTCATCACTATTTGCCGGTACAAATTGAAAATTAAACCAGTCTATTAGTTGCTCACTTTCTAAACTATGTGTCGTGTATAAAACGGGTTGACTCATTGGATGAATACCAATCATACACTTAAGATCGTCTTCTGGCCCTACGACTAAAACACGTGTTCGTCTTGAACCTGCGCGATTCGCACACAATAGTACTATAAGAACATCTTTAGATGCTTCTTCGAAATCCACATCCAAAGTAAACTTTTTCCAGGGCAATTTCATAAAGAACATATCGTATATCTGCTCGTCTTCATATGGTTTTTCGGAGTGTGGCGATTCCGCAATGTATCCATCATCCCACTCCAAATTATCTGATTTCGACTGACTATCACATACAATGAATGAAATTTCAACATTTTCGGTATCACTGCCATCTGGCAGAACACTATTTTCATGATAAACGCTACCCATGATTCTGTACTTGACGTAATTTTTTATAAGTACAGTGAGTGCTACAAACGGTAATGCTAAAAACGTACTGAAAGTGAGTCGTTCGCAAAGCATAAGAGAATCATTTTGTTATCCTTTTCCTCGTAATTCGGACGTGTATGCGTATCTACTACGAAGTTTGGATAAATAAATGGTTGCGCGATATGCGATGGCCTTTGAAGTCGAACCGAATGAATGAACAGTATCAGCCGAATGATGGGTGCGCGAACGAACACCGTGCTGCGATTCCGACTAGAAAGATATCAACGAGAGCCAGGCCACTTTAGTGCAATGAGACAATTGGCAAAACGTTCCGATTCATGCGGCATCGCAAAACCCACAGACACCACACAAAGAACTTTCGAACTTCGCGACACCACGGGCGTAATGCGCCGTTGTCAAGTAGTTAAATTTCGCTCTTAACAAATGACCGAAGCGACGCCACAACATGACACAAAATTACTGACCGAGATGTGCCGTATGCGTTCCCAACTTATCAGGCAGAGCGATAAGCGCTGTCAAACGCTTGATAATTGACATCCATTTTCACACGACACATGCATCACACACAATGTAACGACTTCGCTTTGTATGAGCCCAAGCTGCTGCATAATGTATAAAGAACTGGTTTTAATTTTAACAAATCACATATTCTATTTAATATTTTATTGGAAAACAATCGTTATAATTGATATATAACTAGTGCTGGAACTTCCCGTACCAAAAATTTAAATCCAAAAATTAAAATTTTTAATAAAGCTTAAAATTTTGAACTCGATTGGAAAAAGCTGTTTGAGAGACAAAATATTGAAACGCGTAAGCGCCCGTCGCACTCTAACGGATAAACATTGGTACGGATTCCGTACTACCATGGAAATTAATCCAAATTTGTACTTATTATTAAAGTCTCTACTATGAAATATCAGATAATTTATTGTACATATGTCTAATGATCATTTTTGACGGCCAAATGGCACTTTTTTACTTTTTTCAAAGGATCTGCGAAACCGATAAACCT